GCTTCCGCGTTTAGGTTATTTTACAAAATCCCCCAACTGTTACTGTAGCACGTGGATGAATTTAATGAGGTTAGAAGATGGTTGGCTAAGCTTGAGAATTGCTTCACAATTTCTTTCGATTTTGGATCCAAAATGAAAACCACATTTCTGGTTTGATAGACTGCAGTTCGGTGTACATCCTATAGTCGTTTTTCCCTTGGTTCAATTCGGTCCGACCAAAACCACAACGAACGTTCCAAATCCAGACCGACATTCTTTGGTGAGTTGGCATTTGGCATTTGGCTAGCTGGTCAACACATTTAGTATTCATCATCGGAAGTTCGGAACAAAAGAGAATAGAACTATAGAAGGTAGGGCTGGGAAAATAGACCAGACCGTTAGAAAAACCGTGGTTAAAACCGTACCGCACAGTTTGGTCCGGACCGTAGACCGTTAAGTATGGTCTGGTCTGGTCCATGGTCTGTATTATTTTATGTTTTGATCTTTTGGTCTGGTCTGGTCTAGACCGCGGTTTACCGTACCAAACCGTGGACCCAACCGACTTGTCAATACGTGTTAACAACTCATTCGACCACTCTCCCAACTCCCACGACGACACCCAAGTCTCAACCTTAATTTTGTGAATCTCGTCCCTCCTTCATTCACAGCCGCATTTAACCAGATAGTAGAGATAATTGTGTCTCCATATGACATTATGTTGATTTTTATGACGTTATGATGCAAGTTGGGATGCTTTTACTTTGTATCTTTCTTATGTACTAAGATTTAGGGTATAAAAATTATTCATGCATGTTAGGATTAACGTTTAAAGGCAAATAACAACTATTTTTCTTGGTTATTGGTTCAACTTTTTGTGTGGTTGACTAAACAAATTGTTCATTTTTCATTCAGTGTGGTCTATCTGGACCAGACCATACCGAACCAGACCGCACATGCATGGTCTGGACCAGACCGTATAATCTGTGCTCTGTTCTGTGGTCTGTACTTTAGCCTCTCGGTCTGGACCGTAGACCGTATATATGGTCTGGTCTGGACCAGACCGCACCGTTTCCCAGCCCTAATAGAAGGAGTGTGAAATAAAAGGGTATAATATGAATTTCTACCATGGATTTTTATTAAATATTTTTTTTTTCAACATACTTTATATTTTAGAGAAATTATTAAACATATTTTTAAGAATGGAAGCTAAGTATGTGTCTTAGACGGCACTGCACTACATAGTGCATAGCAGTCAGGAGGGCAACCGTGGGTTAATTGTCGATGTATGGTCGCTAATCTATACTCCGTTATTCGACACTCAACTAACTTTCATACAGGACAAGTTGTCCAATCTTTTTATTTACGTTGTTATTTACGCCTCGCCTCCTATTTATATATTTTAGCTTGTGACGACAATAGAACGTACGTGTATGACACCTGCAGTAGACATATTTGATCCACATTAAAATGCTAGTTGAACTAAGTAAGTATTCACCCCAAGTACGGTAACAATCCAGTTTAACACACCTACCCTAAACTTTTGGAACCATAAGAATGACCTAATTAGGTCAATTCTAAATGCTTTTATCTCTATCTATTGTATATCTAATGCATGACAATACAATTTAGAAAGGAGGTTTAGGATAAAAACAAAAGGAGTCGGAGGATTAAGATTAGAAGAATAGAATATAAAATTAGGAGGAAGCTTGGTATCAAGAGAGATAGAGGACGTGAGAGGAGTAGTCGACAGAAGAGGTAAGACAACTGTAGTCGTAAACATAATTCTAGATTAATGGAAGGAATGAAGGAACGAATTGGTGTAGTTTGGGATGGTGTCATGTTGGAGAAGTAACTGTATTTTTTTGTCATTTGTCCTTTAGTAATGTTTAAGTATACTTCAACCTGACGAAGTACACCTCACAACACAATTATTTGGTCGAAATTGAGAGGAATTTTTGTGAATTTAAGGTTTCGTTTTCGGTAAAGCTATATGTAAGAACTTCGATGGTTTGAGGTTAAAAAGTTGGGTGGGTTGTGAGTCCACCATAGCCCATCCGCACCCACCCAATCTTTTACGGGTCACCTATTTGACAACCCACACCCACTCATAGGAACCACCCACATAGTAATGGGTGGGTCGATTCCGGGTGATTTTGTGGGTTTAACCACCCAATGCTCACCCCTAATTAGGGTTTATGTAAATAAATATTTGACAAATTCCTAATAATCTCCAAACCCAATCACATGGTACTTATATTATTGCTCTAGTTTGCTGAACAACTACCGTTGGAAAGTGTAGTTTAAAAACTCACCTAACCTTATGCTTAGACTCGTCTAGGCGACATGGATACGAAGTCACTGCCTCACTGGTGCTCGATCTAGATGTCATCCAAGAAGGCCAAGAAGTGTGGGACTGAGACTAATTGTGGGTGAGGCTAAGCAACACTAAAATGTCTCGCTAAGAGTTCCGTAGCAAATTATATATTGGTTAATCGTCGACTGCCTAAGGCAACATCTAGGTGTCTCCTAGGTATAATTAGATGGAGCTAGACATAACCAAAGTGAAATTAGCAATATCTACAAACTAATATCTATATCAATAGCTCGAGAAATTTGTGAGCGGGTGAGCTATGATTTAACTATGTTTTTAGTCTTTTGTACTCAAGTGTGAAAGTGTTAAAATTGTTATTTCATTCATCATTTAGTACAAATAGTTATTTCTCCTCCAACACCTAGGCACACTTTAGGCAAGCCAGGTGAGACCACTAGGGGTGTTCAAACGGTTTGGTTACCATGGTAACCGTTTTAACCGGTACTATTTGGATAATTTGGTTTGGTTAATTTGGATAATTGGTTTGGTTTGGTTAAAGTTTTTAGCTTGTTTGGTTTAGGTGGTTTGATTTGGTTTCAGACACTCCTAACCAGTCAAACCAAATTAACCAGTTAAGTAATTAGTCATATATCTAACATATATTATATACACATACTTAATACTTTGCATAACCACTCAAGAGTTAACGTTCATCCCTTTTAGACTCATAAAATATAAAGCTCAATATTGCTCATATAGTGTATATTTGTATATGTAAAGTGTAGACCACAACATATGGACGCCTAATTTAGATAAATTTCATACATTATGATGGATGAAAACTTGAAAGGAAGGTCATTTCCAGCCTATGATAATTGCTAAAATACTAAGTCAATTTACACAAACACAACAATTCATTAACCCATACCATTATCATAAAATTTTGTTAGGTGAATACTTCTATACTAATCGTAAGATAATTGTCTTAGTTGCATGTATTTTTGTTAAGGGTCAACTATAACTACGTGTTGTTTGTTATGTTTTATTCATTATATAAATTGCGAATTGTTGCATTAACCGGAAAATTTACATCGTCAATGATAATGTGATTTTATATTGGTTAATTTGGTTAACCAATTAACAAAACCGATTAAACTTTAATTTAGTTAATTTGGTTGCTGTATTAGTTTGGACGGTTTGGTTATGATATTGTATTCCATGGTTAATGGAATTTAGCCTTATTTGGTTTGGTTATAACCATGGTAACCATTTGAACACCTCTAGAGACCACAACAACTACCTTACGCATAACGTCTTCTTGACTACAACATCAACAATTATGTGGAACTTCAACCCCGAATTAAATCATTTCCTACAGTCACATCGGACACATTAAAAGTCCTAACGATGCCATTTAGAATTAATTCGCGATAGCTTCGGTTGCAAAATCGTAAACCGAATTGGAACTGCATATATTACTATTCAAGATTCAAACTGAAGAAGAAGAAATCTTGTTAGGCAGCATGAAACCTATTCCTATAGAACAAAAGAGGGAGTGCAAAAAACGGGGTCAGAAGAAAGAAAGGGAAGAAACATTCTTAAGCGCAATGTTATGATGCCAAGTAGGAACATGGATCCCTCCTCCGACCATCTCATTTCTCTTCCCCAACTAAATCTACAAAAATGGCGGCGACTACATACAAAATACAACACACTCAGCAAGTCCCTTTATCCAGTCCACTCTTTGCTCTCTTCCCTTGTGCATTCTTTCCCCCTATTTCTGTCTGAAGGCAAGCTTTTGCTTGATTCCTTTACAAAACACTCAGTATCTCTGTTTTAATTCCCTCCAATATCTCAAAAAAATAAAACAAACGAAGAGAATAAAACAATCCTGCAAGAAAAGAAGAAGATAAAGAACCATATATATATATCATCATTTACACTTCAATTTGCAACTTTCATGCAAATTATGTTTCTTTTAATGATAACTTCATGCAGATTATGTCCGCTCCTTATTCATGTATGGTATATGTAAGGTTTGGCCATTTAAAGATGAACGAGTTTCCCAATCTTTTTATTTTCGTCACTTCCTATTTATATATTCTAGTTTGTAACTGTGCAAGTACGACACCTACAGTAGACATATTTAATCCATCTATGTGTCATTATAAAAAAAAAATAGAGGCTCGCACTTAGGGATCGGGATCGTTTGGAGAATATGAGTTTAAATCTATAGATTGTCAACAATCTAAAGATTCTAACTCTTTGGATTGTTGAAAATAGATTTTAAAATGTTTATTGTTTGGTAACTGTGATTGTAAACATTCAATAAAAATAAATTTTTTAATTTTATATTAAATAGCATGTTTATCCTTAATAAAAAATTAGAATGGTACGAGAAATATTAAAAACTTTGTTGATAAATATATTTAATATGATAAATAAATAAAAGAAAGAGAAAATATAGGAGGAAAAAAAATCTCACGAATCAAGATATAGAATCCTTATGATTAATGAGAGATTTGATATCCGTAGATTTTAGAGATTATAAATTTCTAAAGCTAAAATCCTCAATACAAAAAGCAACAAAAAAAAACATAAATTTTTACAAAATCTATGGATTCAATTAATCTTACAGATTTTGTGTGTGTGAGATGTCAGCTAAATTTTCAAATATAGATGTACATTATCTTTATTTTTAAAAGATGTACTCACTAAACATGGTAATAATATCTCAAATATTTACCCTTATCAGTTATCATAGGTGAAAATGTGGGGTAAAAAATAAAATGCAACAGCTGGACGCGGTGCCGCTCGCCGCTCGCCGCTTTGGCTTAGTAGTACTGTAGTAGGAAACTAGGAAACTCCTCTCTTCGTCACTCTCCAGTCGCACCACAAAATCCCTCACCGGGCCGCCGCCGCCTCCGCCACCAGAGCCCAACAATCAGCCGCCTGCGTCCACCGTAGCCGCCTTCACCTTCACCTTCGCCCAAAATCTCAATCTCCATTTTGCTTCACTCTGCTATCACACTCCGCCTTCTCAGCCGCAATCACAGTTCCCCGCGCTTTGCCAAAATCCTCCGGCTGCTCTTGCTCGCTCGTTCCTCCTAGCTGTCTATCTCTACATCCTCTTCTTCAATTCGCGGAAGGAGCTTTTACCGATAGGTATACCCAACTTTCTGATTTGCGGAATCTCCTTTTGTTTTGAAATACCGTTTAGAGGTTTTGGTGGTGGAGATTTTTATCACGTCTGGCGAAATTGAATCCTAAATTCTGTTCATTTGAGGAAGTGTTTGAGAGCTATGGTTCGTCACTGATTTGATGATCTTTCAGGTATAAGTGTAAATAATTAAGTATGATTCTTTACAGGTTACATTCTGCTGTTCTTCGACTACCCACCAATGGCTGCTACATCATCTTCCTTGTCATCCTGCTTGTTGCGCGATGGTGGACTCGGTCCTGAATCCACAAAGTGCTATAATGCTAAGCAATCAGTGTGTGGAAGTGCAAAGTCACTTTCTATGCCATCCAGGCTAATAAGACATTCCATGGAGGCTGGTAGCCTCTCCTCGACGAGAAGTCCAGCTCGCTGCTGCAGTGCAGTCGAGACAAAGGCCAGTCCTTTATTCACATTAGGGAAGAAGTTCCACCTCGACGATGTGATCGAGGCGCAGCAGTTTGATAGAGATACTCTCAATGCTATATTTGAGGTTGCTAAGGAGATGGAAAAGATTGAGAAGAATACGCCTGGAAGCCAAATGCTCAAGGGGTATCTCATGGCTACCCTTTTTTACGAGCCTTCTACTCGTACTCGGCTGTCTTTTGAATCTGCAATGAAGAGGCTCGGCGGGGAAGTTTTGACGACCGAGAATGCCAGGGAGTTTTCTTCGGCTGCCAAGGGGGAGACACTTGAAGGTAACCATTTTAATGTAGGTTCATTATTTAACTGAGTTTTTGTAGCGTTGATGATAACTTATGGTGGGAGTTTGATCTTTTCAGATACGATTAGAACGGTTGAAGGGTATTCAGATATCATTGTGCTGCGTCATTTTGAAAGTGGTGCTACGAGGAGAGCAGCAGCAACAGCTAGCATTCCGGTCATTAATGCAGGGGATGGTCCTGGACAGCATCCTACCCAGGTTTTTAGAATATGTGTGCTCTTGTTGTTTCATTCACATGAAAGTACTCGACTCTGGGAAATTATCCTTGTGTGTGATTTACTCAGCGGAGACATATTTAATAGAATAAATATAAAGGCCTAAAAGAAATAGATAACACAGATACTCAGATGGCATGCTGGCCATGATGTTGTCATGCTTACTCTATGTATAATTTGACAGAGTGTTGCTTCACGACTATCCTACCTGAGGTGTATTCAATGGTAGAAAATCTTATTATATTCCATATTTGAGGATTTGCTTTAAGTTACTATGGAAACCACTAAAATTCATACTTGCAAATTTTCTTGCTTGATTAAGTCTGAAGCTTTGTCTCTACTACACAGGCCCTTTTGGATGTCTATACAATCGACAGAGAGATCGGCAAATTGGATGGCATCAAAGTGGCACTTGTGGGAGATCTAGCTAATGGAAGGACAGTTCGGTCACTTGCATATTTACTTGCAAAATATGAAAATGTGAAGATCTATTTTGTCTCCCCTGAGGTGGTGAAGATGAAGGTAACAGTGATGTCACTGAACATGAAATTGATTTGGTGATACTTCACAGTATATAGGTACAATCATTGATCTCTGGATTTGTGTTTTTTCCACCCGCTAAACCTTACTCAGGACGACATAAAGGATTATCTGACATCCGAGGGGGTACAATGGGAAGAGAGCGCCGACTTAATCGACGTTGCATCTAAATGTGACGTCGTGTATCAAACTCGAATTCAGAAAGAAAGGTTTGGAGAGAGAACCGATCTGTATGAAGAGGCTCGTGGGAAGTACATCGTGGATAGTGATGTGCTGAATGTGATGCAGAAGCATGCTGTTGTCATGCACCCTCTCCCCCGGCTTGACGAGGTAATGCAAATGATTTGACCACTGATGATAACTTGTTGGTCATAATGAAGCAGCGACCCCCTTTTTAATGCTTGATGATTGATCTCTTTTGCGTGTCTTTGGAATGTAGATAACTGTGGATGTCGATTCGGATCCTAGAGCTGCGTATTTCAGACAAGCGAAGAATGGCCTCTACATCCGCATGGCTCTTTTGAAGCTTCTACTGGTTGGATGGTGAATATTGCTGCAGGTGGTGGCTTACTGAGTCGGGGATTTGTCGGAAAATTTTGTTGCATTCCCTTTGTTTACCTGAGCTGGTTTTGTAGTGCACTAAACTGATTAGAGTTTGAGTTCAAGGAGAGAAGTGGTTGTAGAGAAGTTGATGGACCAGGAGTTATTTTGTTTTTGCCATATGATTTTGATTGTCAGGGTTGATACTATAGCGGAATGGTATGAAATTTATCATCAGACTTTCTTCTAAATGTTCGAGCTGTTATGATCTATTGATTCTTGACATAATGTTTGTTTTTTATTTTGATTTTTTCTAATATTTAATATTAATTGTTAATTTAAACCCATATTATAGGAGCTCACAACCCTAATATTTGGGTTTAAATTGTTGGATTCAGAACCTTAATGTATGCTTTTGAGGCATCCAGGACCTTAAAATCCATTGGTTTTATGATTCAGTATGCCAGTATCATTCCCAACTAATCAACATTATTTCTATAAATTATTTCTTTGAAAAGTTAGTTCTTTTTATTAATCTACCTGCACATGCGTAAATGAAATATAATATTATTTTGAAGAGAATGAATCATCTGCAAAATGTTAGGTTAGTGCTCTATGCTGACTTCAGTTCCACGTAAACTGAATTAATTTAAGTGAATATTCCACCGATGATGATAATGATGGTTACTTGGTTAGCATGTTCCACCTTATAAAAGAAAAGGAAAGGGGGAAAAGAGAAGTAATAAGCAGGAAATCATGGTTTAAATATGATTCAGTCATGTTATAAAATTTGTTTATTGATTTAGACTCTAATAGAAAGTTTTCTAAGTTGAACGACCGATACGATTTTATTGAACCTTACTCCATGGAAATAGAGCCCTATCACCTTGTGTGATCACACGTTGCAAGTGCTTAGTTATCAATGTCGACAGTGAATGCAGAAAAGCTTCTTGCTAGATACCCTGATTTCACATGAGACTCATTGTTCATCTTCTCATATCACCTCACTTTTTACTGCACAAAGACCCACTGATAATCACCTCAGCTAAGCCAAACAGGCAAATGCAATCATGCTAGCATACATACTACATTGAGAGTTCAACAGATTAAGAAACCAGGATTCAGTGGGTCAGCAAGAATCTCACAGGTCATCCCTAATACAGAACTTACAATGAAAACCAATGAGAACGAAAAGAGGGCAAGTCCCTGGCAAACATGACTTCACTTCATTAAACCCCACCACCCTATGTCATACATTTCTCACACTTACTAACAAACCAGCTTACAGAAGGATTAGCCATGAAGATCAACAATCTTAAATCAAAATTCTGCATCCTTCACTTCTACATAGTCACAAAAACATGGTCCTTCGCTAATAGGATTGAGTCATCGATCAGCTGCAGCAGTTTGATCCCTATAGGCATCTGCCATGAAGGTTAGCAAGCAAAATGTACACAGCCGCGAGAGAGAGAGCAAGAGAGCTTTGGACCGGAAGTCCTGCTAGTCATGGCAAGCGAAGACCAGCGCTTGCTCTTAACGATTCCCCGGCACTGCAGAAAAACTACTTTTGCGGGGGCCAGTTTCTTCTTCACTGTAAACTAATCAGCCCACCAGTTGCAGGGATGGAAGCAGCAGCCTGGGTGAAACCATGCTGCTGAGCCATCATATTGCTGCTGATCTCCACGGCATTTGCTGATAATGTGCTGCTGCCTTTTATGGTTTGCTGCAGGTGATGAACAAGTGACATGAATATTTCCATCCTCGTTACATCCCTGTTTGCCTGCATGCACACACCAAGTACACATTTAGCCACTTCAGAACAAGGAACTCCAACAACTTGTGAAATGAACTAGTTGAATTCCAAAAGATTTACCTCCACCACAAAGTGAGCCCATATCTTATCATTGCGAACCTCCATGATACCTTTCAAAATTGTCAGCCCCATTCCTCTAATCATTTCAGCTATTTCCAGAAAGAAACCTCGCTCTTCACAAAGCATCTGCCATTGGAAGAGATGTAAGATAATTAGAACAGCCATATAACAGAAAATCGCTGCAAACCTACATGCGTGAAGTCTAAATCAGCAATTTACCTCAATAAGCATCTGACGGGGAAGATTCAAATCCTCGACAACAATAGGACACACCATAGACTGCGACCCAACTTCAAATGCCCATGTTGCCCCTCCCTCAAAATTATCCTTCAAGAGTACTCCGCCGTCTTTTCTAATAAACTGCTTGTTTGAATCAACAACATAACAAATTAACTTCCGCCTAATTGTCAGGGATACATTCCAAGTTAGTTGCCTTACAAGCAACAAATTACCTTTGACTCCGCAGTATGCTTGAGCTTGTCGGCATGCTTGGTAACACTTTGCAGGAAAAGCATATGCTTAATGGTGCGTTCAAGAAGAGCATCAATGCTACACTGTTAACAAATCACATTATCATCCAAAGAAAAGTGTCAACCTTCGACGTTAGGAAATAAATAAATAAAAAGTACATAAGGAATTAAGGATAATAATAACAAGGAAACTAATTACCTTGCCTCCATTTGGTACAATGTCACGCAACTCCTTCACGCGATCTTGGATCATTTGGCGATCCTTGGGCCTAGGCCTAGGATTTTCTCCAGGCTTCAGCCGCTTACGGTTAGGTTTGTTGCTTGATTCTTCATTCTTCTTGGGAAATCCAGATGTTGATATACTATTGTCCCGCCTCCCATTATGGCTACCAAGTGAACTCAGCTGAGATCCATAAAATGAAGTCGTCTGAGAACAACTTCCCACGTCATCCGTTGTTGTTCTACCTCTTCCAGGAAGGTCAAAAGTTTCCCTTTTCACCGGGTCAGGCACGCTAACCAGGCCATACGTATGATGCGCACTAGGAACAGAAGGACTGCTTGCCTTGGTCACAGTCGTTCTACTTGAATTGCTGTCATCCGAGTTCTGCTTCGTGCTAGAGTGGGCCCTAGATACCACAGCTTCCAAAAGATGGTCACTAGTACCCGTTGCAGGTAAGGTAGTGCTGTAGAAATCAGAACCTTTCTTCTCTTCAACCATAGTTTCAGACTTTTGATGAGACCCATCTGTGATCACATTATTCCACTTGCCACCCAATAGCTTGTTTCTGAAATCCACCCCCAAGATGTCATACAAGTCGTCTCCAGACGGATATAGAGCAGCAAATGAATTGGTAATTTCGTTGTTCACTGTAATTGTACTTTGACTTCCACTTTGATGCCCAGTTAGTTGGATTGACTGCAAGTTCAAGGGTTGAAACAGATCTCTATCCATCTTCTGCATTGTTGCTTGTGATGTAATGTCACCATGATTAAAATTGGTGGATGAGTTGAATCTGCAATTAGAATCATCTCCAAGCATACCACTGCCACCATTACTTGTTTGATCCACCACCCTTGTTGAGTCAAGCCTCCCCATATTTGATGAATCGGTGGGCAAACAAGGAGTTGAAGTTTGTACATTCCCATGTACTCCAATAGAAAAATGATTTCCATTCCCCTTTCTTCTCGTCATAGAAAAGCTGTCAGTTGCATTCTTTGTATTTCCAAAATGAGAGGGGCCACAAGATTCTAGCACTACCTGCTGTTCCGGTAATGATAAAACAGTGTTGCTGGCATCAGAATGACCAGTGGTAGGATGATGAAATCCAGTCATGGAGCTGAAATTTGATGTGCGGCGGTGGTTTAGCGATGGTTCATGAATTGGGGGAATCACTTGAGCTACTCCATCAGTTAGATTTGGCCCACAAATTATGGAAGCAGCAGGAGACTTTAGATTATCCTGGCAATGTCCAATCTGGGGAAGAGAGGGAACTTTTGAAGAGTGCGATGATTTGAAGTTTTGCAGCTTCAAAGTTTCAGTCAGCAAAGAAGTGGGAGTTGGGACCTTCGAGAAATGTGGGGAAATGGGCTGTCTGAAAGAAATAGGTATCCCAATTCTTTCAGTCAAGTCTTTTTCTTCATGGTTATCAGACAGCAGTGCTCCAGGTATGCATCCTAGTTCCAGGATCAAACTCTTTACATTATTCACAAATCCCGAGTTTTCTGAAATCTGAAGAAAAAAACGTACCCACATGAGACACAACCTACATTGAACTTGCAATATAGACAAACCAGAATGGCTAAAGATCTTTTATCGTGTTATATAGTACAATAAATAAGAAATAAGTCTTACCGTCAATGAAGAACCAAGCTGCACTACACCATGGGGACATATGGGAATAACTGCAATAGTCTGCAGACAAGAAAAGGAGTCTCTTAAGAAAAATAAACACCACAAATTGCCAGGAAAAGGAAAGAGCGAAACAAACTGAAAATTATCAAGACCTGCATTCCAGCAGAAAACTGGTGGCGAATCTCATTAACAACCTGCAAGGAGACACATAATTAAAAAGAGGTACATCTCGACTACTAGACATTTGGCCTTAGCACAACCATATATACAACATAGAGACATCCACGTAAATTAAATGCACCATCTTTATTCTGGTGAATTCATGATTAAAGGAACAGCAGCACCAGTGACTTAATATTACCTGCGGAGGATGAGAGTGTCCTGTATAATTGTTAGAAAGAATCCAATCATGGTTGCCGGTAAATGCAGCTCGCCCCACAATTCTGATCACCATAAAGTGAAATACCGCACATATTGATTAAAATTTCATTTAAGTGTATAAGGGGAATGCGGATGGAGACAAGAATAAGAAGAAAAACTTAGGCATACCCTTCTCCCACTATGATAACCTGATTATCCATCATCATTTTGTTTACAAGCGAATCCACACCATTACCCCCAGCTTGAAGCCCCAGCATTGAGGACTGGGCATCAGTACCACGGAAACCTTCCCATTCTCCAAAGGAAGAGACAGGCTTGTGAGAAGAAGACGATGCAGAGTCGTGGTACGAATCTTCCCATATTAACAACCTGCAAATTGGGAGCAGGACTGAGAACCATGACTACATTTTCTTACAGAACTAAGGAAGAGACAGAGAGTAAATTATATGCAGGAGCGGATGAAACTACAGAAACAGCACATAGAAACAAGGGGAAAATAGAGAGAATAGAATAAAGCACAGAGTGGGAGGTGGATCTAGCAACAGGAAATCAATCTAAACAAGGAGGAGCGGTCAGTCAGGTCAAAGTTAAAACCAAATCCACTTTTCCACATTAAGATTCTTAAAGCCAAAAGAGAATAAAGCCATAACACAAAGTTCCAAAGGGCAAAGGCAGAAAAAATAGAAAAAAGGAACATATCTGGTGAAGTAGAAGGAGAGGAAATTTGATAAAGACAACAGTAGCCAAATGAAACTTAGAAACCATCTGTTAAAGACAGGCTATCAACCCAGGAGTGGCAGAAAAATTGAGATACTTGACAAGAGAGAAAATTATTAGTATTTTCTTCCTCCCCGAGAGAGCCAAAGAAGAGGTTTTAGTTCTACATATTATAATAACCTAAAGCTACAGTCTTTTGTGCAACCTGTCAAAGAGGTGAATCCTTGTTATGTGAATCAGATCTTAGTTTGGTGGCTAAGAAAGTATATGAAAAGATAAAGGCAAGCATAGCTAATACTTTTGAGGTTCTGTGATCCCACTCCACTATATGGGCGGTAGAGCCAGCCATTAAACTTAATTAATAACCATATCGAAGTACCAAAAAGGATTAGGAACGCAACAAGATTTAACAAACCCGCATAATACCTTATCTTCTCGGCTACCAAGCAGAAAATTGCAAAGATTCTAAACAGAGCCCAAATAGATCACAGTTTAATCAAAACTACAATCTGATTAGCCTATCCAAGTTGAATGAACAGCAAGTAAGAAAGAGAGCTCTTGTTATCATCACAAAACTCAAAAAAAGCTGCCTTCTTCCAACTTTTTGACTTTACTATTCCCTATTCCTCCATTTTTCCCAGCAACCAAACAAACCAGATGAAACAAAACTGCAGAATGAAAATCAGAAAGAGACCAACTTACAGAGCAACACAACTTACTTAGGATTCTGGATGCCAATCTTCCAAAACACAGCATAAGACCAGTGATTGACGCCGCAGAGCAGCCTCAAAACTTCTCTCAACAAAACCCCCATGGCAGCTCAAAAAGCTATACCGCAGAATTACTTTCCTCCCCAAAAAAAACAGAGCAGCTATCAACCTCTAAATCGGATAACACCACCACCAGCAGCTAGATTAAACAATTTACTTTGCCAGAATAAAAAGAGACGAACTTTCAGCATTCCTCCCTTGCCTCTTCTTCTTCTTCTTCCTAGCGGCTAACTACCGCGACACGACCCTCTTCCCGCCTGCTTAGTCCTGAGCCCACCGCTCCTTTTCCTCTCTGGATCCAAGTTCCGTACGATCTTTCTCTCGCAACCCATCAGAAAATGGAAGAAAAGCGAGTCGAAATCCTAACACACCCAGAAAGCAGAACAGCCTTCGGAAGCGGGCTACTAGAGAAACTTGAACTGAAAAAACAGAGCCAGCCCTAAATTATCCCACAAGCTTCCTGCTTGAAGGTGGCCTTAATCTGCTCCATTTCTTTTCACTCGTTCGTAAAAATTTTGGGTTCCTGAAATCAGCTAATAAGAGAGCTGGAGGAGGTTGGGAAGCAGAGAAGAAGAGATTGGGGGAGAGGGGAATTTGAGGATTATGGGTTCCTTTCGCTTTCTTTGTTTCTCACTTTCGCTCAGCTTGAGAGCTCTCTCTGGCTGCTAAATGCTAAATATTCTGTCTTTCTCCTTTTGATGCAGAGATGGTGAGTGAAAGAGAGGGCGAGAATGGAAGAGAGAAGAGAAGTGATTTTTTTTTTTTTTTTTTTACTTTTAAAGTGAAAGTGCGCCACAGACGATAAAAGCAGGAGACGACAAAACGCAGACCCCCAAAATTAAAACAAAAATCAAATTAATATTGTTTTTTACAATAAATTAAAAGTTAATTTAATTTGTGGGGCATGTTTAAGTTTGGAAAATAGGGGCTGGAGTTGGGAGGAAATTACGGGGAGATGCCACTGTGAGATGGGGAAACTGGCTGGGGATTAGTAGGGTGGTTTGTTGCTTTCTTTGCTAGTGCGAGTTGCTGTCCTGCTGACGTCATATATTTCAAATGACCGTTCTGACCTTGGTCCAGCACCAGCTTGCCTTGATTAACAGAAGCCATTTGAAAGATGTTGGGAGTTTTTCGTCACAAATCATGATAATGACTGACCATAATCATATGTTCAAATGCTCAAATCAGGCTCTTAACAAAAGTTATATGAAATTCCTGGTTATGGCAAATTCTTACAGAAAGATCAGAATTTCTAAGTTTAGTTGTTGATATGCAAACATTTATGGCAAGAGATCCATTACTTACGTGCTCTTTTGATCTGTCAAGTCTTTTTCTGTTACGAGAGTTTTCGTGTTTTAATTTCATGATGTAAATTTCCCTCTCTTGGTTTTGAGCATTTGTCAGATATTTGTGTTTATAGAGCGGTGAGAACGAAAAATCGAGTGCAGCTCTTTGGACATCGATTAATTACTGTATGTAACTGTTACATATAAGACCTTCTTTAATGAATTTGTCGTGTTTAAATTCTTACGACAACAATTCTACGTCTCGTGTTCAAGAGAATTTGACACAGTGTTTAAGTAATACACTTTTTCACAAAAAAAGGTTGATTGAGTATATACATGTAAAAGAATGATGACGTGGACAAGGGGGATGATGGAAAATGGAGCAATATTATTGTTCAATGGAGGCAAGGAATGATGGGATGAATGAGTGTCCATGATGACTCATAGAAAGTGAAGGATGAAAAAAAAATTGAAGGACAAATCATCATCAACTATATATTTGACTCACTGTTAATTTCTTATGAATGCTACTTTTTTTATTGATTGGATATTCCAGCAAGGAAAACACACACAAGTGACTTTGTTTAGGAGTCTTAATCCTATCCTTTCTTGACAAAGAAATTGAGCATGACCCGACTCCTAAGACTCGATTGCATGAATAAACGGATAATATTTACTTTTTAATTTAATTTATCTTACACATTCCGTCAGATCTCAAATCAAACTCGAAAGTATAACTCAAGCCATACATGAGTCGAGTCAAACTGAGAAGGATTATTTGTGCTAGAATTAGAGGTGACAATATGAATTCTTCTATCTACTCAATCCACTGCAAAATTCAACTAATCCAAATCCATTTGGGTTCATGGATATTTTAAAATTATAGTTTAGTACCTATAATTTTTATATTTTATATCTGATACCTAAATCCTAATTTTTATTGAAAAATATAATTCAAATTTTACTTTTTGGTACCTAAAATTTTCATTATTATATTTTAGTACCTAAACTTTTTAAAATTTACATAACGGTCCAATGTTTGTATTTCACTTTCACCAATCCATTTGACCCCAATTCACCAATCCATGAATACAATCCAACTGCCACCTCTAACTAGAAATGTTATGTAGGATGAGAGAAGTTTGACATTCTTCTTCATCAAGCTCGTAATTGTACATGAATCGATTTGTTGAACAACTACCTTTCAGTAAACGACGAAATGTTGGTGGCTCCAAAATTTAGTGACTATTTATGTAAACGACATAGGTCTCCCTTGCACTTGATTGAGGATAACATCGTGGGGTGAAAAAGGAATATTAACACATCCCAACTATTTTTTTAGCCCATAAAACTTCCATTGTTCCCCATTTTCTACCCTAGAGAATAATATATTACACATAGAAATCGAATTTCAATGGAGTCCCCCAAACTCTTCCTAGCTACCTCATTGTCATTGGCATTGCCGTTTCATCGATATTTTCAGAACCTCCATTGATGAATTCCACTGATAAAGCTCCAAGAGACCAAAATACACTGGTTTTTGCACCCACCTAGCTTCTGCTGCTGCCATGGTTTTTGTGCCCTTAAAATCTCATTGGAGTCTAATGCATTTAACAAGACTACCCAACAAAAAGCAATATTAAATTACCCTTAATAATAATAATAATTAAATGGTTGTTCTTGATCTTTGTTGTCTTTAGTCTTTACACGACATTCTCTTTACCCTTATTCCTTCTGCAAATTCTCTGTTTCCTGCAACTTTCCATTCTTTTCTTGCTCTGCGTACTTTGATGATAATATACCTTAGCTAGCTTAGGTTTAATGTTTTGATTAATTTATAGGGTGATTTATTCTTTAATAATGAGGAAAAGGGCTCGTATCAGCTTGATTATATTATACAAACAAGCATGTGATGGCTTAACGATGTTTAAAAAAAAACATGAATTGTTTTAGGGTTTAGAAAGCCCATTTGTCACATGGGTGGGTAAATAATTGCCAAAGTGTTCTAAAGTTTCACATGGTCAAGTAAACATTCCAAGCTTCATAAAGGCAAAAAAAAAAAAAAAAACATGTTGTGGTAGAAGGATAAAAAAAAAGATGTTTTTAGTAAAGGATTAAAGAAAACTTTTTATAGCCCTAGTGGGAGTGGATATTCTATCCAAAAAGCTGGTATAAGGGTTTGTTATTTTAACTCAAATTTACATTTGTGTGTTCTTTGAATGGTGTGAATAGAGGGGAAATTTGGTGTAAGGATGCAACTGATCGAAAGGTCGTTTATCAAATGAATCCGATATCTCAATTATTAAGACTACACAGGTGTTCCATAGAGTAGCTGTTGGGAATTTGGTTGAACGGGACTAATCAAGCCAAACCGGTTTTGGGTTGGACCGACCAATCGGTTTGAGATTAGACCAATCGAACCAATATTCTAATTCTGTGAAGGAACACATCCCTTTGGCCTAGTGGCGGTTGCATTATTTTATGGATAAGGATAACCTTATGGATAGAGGCAACCCTTCATATGGATAAGAATAACCTTTCATATGGATATAAGCAACCTTTCATATGGATAAAGGCAACCTTTCGTATGAATAAAGGCAACCTTTCATGAAACAATGCATGGATTCGGCCCCTATAAATATGTGTAGGGTGGATGATGCCACAGACGATCAAACAGATTCTTCTTCTTTCTTCCAAAAATTTCTAAGTATGCTTTAGAGTTCTTGAGCCTAGAACCTAAAGTGGTGATAGTTTTATCCTCGGGAGAAATTTCCTCTAACCCAAGGCTTTGTAGAGGGTGGAAATATTCTTTTCGGAAAGTGAACGTTGTTCACGACTCTATTACAATCCTGGTCACCCGGTCTCGGGATATCGTACGTGTACCCTCGTCCCTAAAAGTCCCAACAGTAGTGTATGGGTGGTATAAAGTCTCTTGAATCTCTCCTTATGTAAAGATCTTGTATTAGAGAGAGTTCGCGTGAACAACATCTCTTATATATCTTGAATAATTTTTTTGTCCAATCTTATCTATTGGAGCGGTGCGGTTTATTGTTATACGGTGCACGTGCGATCAAGAAACAAAGAGGCATGTTATAGAAATTTAATGTGTTACGGTCGAAGATTAAATTAAATAATGTCAAGGTGAGCATAAAGCCAATGTAGTACATGCAAACAAGAATCAAAATATTGTACGTAGAGGTAACAAAATGTATAATCTTTCATGTATAAAACTCGAAAAATAGATACGAGGTATGTGTTGAGAAGATAAATAATTTTAGAAAGCAATAAAAAGTAAAAGTAAAATGTTTGGGACAAAATAAAAAAACTTTGTGTGATGAGAGATGAGGCATAAAAAGGATACATAGCCCTAGTTGGGGACACATGAAAGGGATATGTTTTTTTTTTGGGTTTGCTACTATTTCTTGGTGTGTGGTAAAACAAAAATCATAATTAAACCTTTTTCATTTTTGTGGTAATTTTGATAGGAAAAAAAAAAACAATATTTGTTGTCAATAGCGAAAGATTCCTTCCACAGAAACGCATGAAGGTGTTCTTGTTTTATACCTCCGGACAGACAACCTTTGCTTGTAGAATAATCATATATTTCTGCTATTATCAATGTACTAGGAAAGGAGTAAGTTCTACTCAATCAAATGAAATGTTATAAAAAAAATTGGTATTTTAGGCATTACAATATCATTGAAGGTGGATCCATACTCCAAGCACATTACACTCGCCACTCCATAGATAGATACTTAGATGTGCTTATCGAAGCTGGAAGTCCACACTTCAAGTCAGTTTCAAGGTCCAAGTTTGAGTTTGTGTTCAGGCTACGATTCGAGTTTAAGTTTTTAGCGTCAAAGTTTCAAGAAGGATCCACCTTAAATATTTGGTTTGAGGTTATCATATGATGTTAAACCAACACAAAAAGTTATAAGATTATGTGACCGAGATTCATTCATACGAGATTAAAATATAGTATCATATATATCTCATACTTCATATTAATTTATGGTTTAAATAGTAAAATATGATTAACATACGAG